CCCCCCCCTCCTCACCCTCACCCCTGTTTAGGACCCTCTTGCTTGTGTACTGTCATCACTGGTAGCCTGTGAACAGTGTCAAGGATGCGGTGAAGAGAAAGCTGGAAGAAAGAGGATAGAAGAGAGAGAGAGAGTAGAGAGAGCCCAGACCCCCACCCGTTTCCCCCCTCGGCCACTTCACTTTCTGGCAGTTCCTTCTTGGTCCTTCCAGCCACAGTCAGACCATTCCAACTGGAGCTTGTTCACAGGCTACATCACTGCTGGGACTTAAAACACCTTGCAACTTAAACTTTTTCAAAAATTACACCCATAATTTCTCCGGATCTCCTATCATGCTTTAGATTTCATGTATCATTTTTGTGATGTATGGAGACCTAGAAAAGAGGTAATAAACAAGGAAAATAGAATGTGAACACAGGCAGACCACTCTATGTGTTCGAGGTTAATAAATATGAAACGGACAGAATCTATGAGGGTTATGAATAAGTATAGATAATCATACAGTTTCGAGTTAAATTTGGAATTAATTTGCACGAGTGAGTTTTTCAAAAAGCTGAAATTGCATGAGCTGCTTCAGTGAGTGTAATTTCAGCTTTTTGAAAAACTCACAAGTGCAAAGTAACTTCAAATTGAACGAGAAAAACTGTATGATTACTTATTAATAACATAAACATGAGAAAATTCACGCGGAGGAAGTGCCAGATCTTTCTTGAAGCCATTTTTTCTCATTTGAGAAAACTTTTTTCAACGTTTCAGCACAAAATTTTTGTCATCATTTTAGGTGATATCATTTTCTTACAAAAGTTCCTATTTTCTTTCAGTCAATCATAATCCAGAATTTCGATGTGTAATTTGCACTGGTGTTACACTTTTTGCACTGTTACACTTTTTGCACTTGTGTTACACTTGAACTGCACTGCTCTTAGCCAATCAGAATTGAGTAATTTTTTCATGTGTATTATTAAGCTCTGAAAATTGTATATCTAAATTACATCTTGGCCTGAATATCCCAATAAAGTTAAATGAAATGTTAATCGGCTCATGTGTGGTGTTTTTTCACCTTCCTGGGCCGTCTAAAGGGTCTTTTTATGAAATTACTTTTGGCCAGAGACCAGTATTGGTCTTATTGGACTGGTATTGGTCATATTGGTCTAACTCAATAGAAACAAGGTACATTATACATGTTTTCTGTTTCTCAGTTATTAAAACTTAAGGGTATTTTAAGGTTACCAATAGCAAAAGTCAGCCCCTGGGTTATGAGTAATTTGAACAAGCTTGACTCACAAGTTTACACCAGTTACTACAGCATGAGTGATCCCTAAAATGTACAGTGAGTGCTCTTAAGAGGTGTGGCCATATTCCTTTTCACTCCTAAGAAAGAACACTTAATATTTAACACAATTTGTAACTGTACCCAAGGAAACAAAAATAAATAAAATATTCAGTTAACATTATCGTTCACTTAAGCCTTTTACAAGTTGTAGCATAATCTGGTGAGGATTACCATAAATTTTTAAAATTTACATTCTATCTAAACTATTCTGTCAAAAGATTATTTCTTCTAGTCCATGGGCAAATAAGTATATCAGTTATCTATCTTCTATTTTCTATATCTATTAAATTTTTTCAAATGACTCAAGTCAATATTATCTAGTATGTCATTTAATATTCACAACCACCAGTCTTCATCGTCATTGTCATCATCATCCTCATCAATACCTTCAAACAACTTATTAAAGCACTCACTGCCTGGGGCATTGAAATGTTGGTATGGATTACTGCGAGAAAGAGTAGACATGCACAGCCAACAGAAGTACGCCCGGCACTTCAGACAAGTCATTTTATTACAGCCATCAATCTTTTGAATACTTGCTTTGCAACTCGGACATTGCTTTGCATTGGAGTCAAGCCACTCTTCAGACACAACTTCATCCATCAGCTTTTGCAGTTGCCGTTTCCCAAAACGCTTTTCTAGTAGTTCTTTTTCAGCACTAGAGGCTGTACTGTATTCCTCTGTAAGCTTCTTAAGATTATCTCTTTTAATCTCACACGGAGAAACACCATGGTAGGTATGCTTGCAAAAGGCACAAAATGCAAATGAACATGATGTGCAGACACCCATTGCTGAATCACTGTCCAGCATGACAGCAGTTTGACATAACGGGCG